ACAAATGTACCACACTATATAATGAATGTACCACACTATACAACAAATGTACCACACTACAAAATGAATGTGCCACACAATACAATGAGTGTACCATACTATACAATGAATGTGCCACACTACATAATGAATGTACCACACTACATAATGAATGTACATTGTACCACACAATACAATGAGTGTACCACACTATATAATGAATGTGCCACACAATATTTTCATTTATTACTCGTAGGCTTAACTACAACATCACTTCTACTGTTCATTACAAACATCTTTGTTCTACAATTGACCAATCATATATATGTGAAGACCGAACATTAAACAGTTGTAATTTCTGACGAACTGACTTTTATATTTGAAGTCTTTTCTAATTTTTATATTTTTAAGTATAAATTTCCAACTTACAAGCTTGTCCTTGAATTATTATTTTAATTATTGATACCCTCCACAGAGATCTTAGAAGACTGCTGTGATATCACCTGTATATAGCCATGCATTAATTTGGGGTTGTGCTTTAACAATGGAATAATATCTCTGAATTTGTGGTTTCCATGACAACTAAAATTGCGGTCACATGAATTAATAATTTAATAAGAGATAATCATACTACAAATATTCCCTATTCTTGTTCTGAGCTGAGAAGTGACCTTCCAACTCTAAATATCCTGAAAACTAGATCACTTATTGAAATTATACTAATGGTTTTTTGGTATTTCTAAAAACTGATTATTATCCTGTACAGTTGGACACACTGGATGTTGAGCATGAACCTACAGTATGAACTCCAGTAAAATGAGGTTGTCACAACAATAGTGTATGAAGGAGGCAGTACGGGGATCGTATTGACTAATGTGTACTGCCTAGGTGCTACTTTGTGGGATTGACGTAATAACGTTATTATTACACATCCGTTTCTGCCTGTACTAAAAATAACCATTTCGGATGAGTTACAGGATTCTATGAATTTTATTGTGCGCTATAGCATTCAATGTAAACAAAGAATGGTGCTGAGATATGACATCAATAACCTGTAACACTATTTTTCTTGGTGCTAGATGTATCATAAAATTTTGTGTATCCAACTTCTATAAAAAAGTGTATATTGCCATGAGCTAGATTAAATAGAGAAATACACTTCTTTTCATAAAGGCATGAATGTGTTTTTTTTAATAAGATATCTATGAATATTTTATGAATTCCAAATAATGGTTGAACACAACTTGACATTTCACAACACCGTAACATTTGTGTACTATCCAAATAGATTATCTTTTGCACTCATGGTAGTAAATCAACAAATGTTTGAATGCCCCCCCCCCTCCCTCCCGCCCACAGAGATTCATGGGTAATCTGTGTTATCAAATGTCTTCTATAGCCTGTATATTGTCTTCTTTGGGTATGATTGTAGTGTGTGATGTTCTTTCAGTAGAAAAGTTTTGTAAAATATTTTATAAATTTTCATAAAAGATGTTCATGTCAATAATAATTTCTATTTCTGTGCTATTTTGCAGGTAACAGTCGGGTACATATAAAGACTGGGGTGAAATTCCCTGTAGACGTTCATGAACCAGATATTATCATTTCCAAGTCGAGTGATTCATCTGTGGATGTCAACATTGGATTCCTTCAAAAAGATCATCGTTATGAAATATCTTTCAGTGTTTATGATGATGTCGGTAGTCAAGTTAAAGTTTTTCCGGAACAACATTTTTGTATAAAGCTGTTAAGTGTCTACCCACAGCAAAGTGGTAAATATTGAATTACAGTGCACCACGCCCAGACTGAGTTACAGTGCACCATGCCCAGACTGAGTTACAGTGCACCATGCCCAGACTGAGATACAGTGCACCACGCCCAGACTGA